CGCTATCGTGGTTTGTGCAGGCAACCAGTTGAGAATGTTAATGAGGACTGTCAGGTGGAGTCTCTGGATAATATATACAAGCTTCAAGACAAGCAATTAACACAGGAAGATGATGGCAAATGTGGTGAAAGCCAAATCCTGGGGTGGTAGTACCAGTGTGCAAGACTAGTCTGTGGCTGTGTGGACCAGTACTACACACAAGAAACATGAGTAAATGTAACATCTGAATAATATACCATTTTAGGGTGAGAGTGGTACAAGTTATGACACTGTGACAACACCACTACATATTGATGGGATTATTAAACTATAAGATGCTTTTACAGGCATTGCTGTCTGTCACAAATTGTACTATTCTCACCCTAAAATGGTATATTATTCAAATGTTACATCTGTGTCCTTGGCAAATCCATATCAGATGACATAAGAGGATCCCATGGTAGTATGGACTACTGTGGGGAGTGCAAGGCAATGTTGGAATACAAACATCATGTGGCTATGCCACTTACCTAATCACATATTTACTTTTTTGTAGTTCATACTTAGTACTACCTCAGTGACTTACTACTTTGAAGTACACTGAGGTGAGACTCATTTATACTCATTCTTACACTTTACTAATACCCCTGTAGCTTACTACAAAGTACACTGAGCTTACTTCTTACTATAGGCAATGCAGAAGTGCTGGCAGGTGTGCCAAAAGGCCCCTTCCTGCTTGATGACATTGGATTTCCCATGGTAGAGGCTTCTACCTCCCAATGTTAATACCTGATATGCAACCAATCCAGCTTTGGGTAGCACTTAACATAGTTGTGCTTGCTGACTAAGCATAACTTCTGAAGTTGGACATTGGATTGGTAGTTGGCATCCTAAACATGGTCAGATAGACAAGTGGTAGGGGCAGTGGTGAAGCCCCCTGATGAGAACTGTCATGAGTTTGAAACCACTGTTAGCCACTTTCTTTATTTGCCCCTTTTCATACTGTACATGTGACCACACCACATGGCCTGACCCCAATCTTAGGAGAGGGGTGTCAGACAGATGAATAAGCAAATGGATGGCCTGACATGTCGTCTTACGTACACAGACTGCATCCTGTGTCGCTTGTGTCTCACACACAGCCCAGGATTTACACACCAGGGATTTCAACATTTCAAGGGCATTTACAGATTATATAAAATATCAAGTTTTATTATTTCACATTTTCAGGGTGAGAAAATTTGAGATGTCAGGCATAAAATTGAAGTTTTCAGCACCTGTTTGGCATTTTATAGCCATGAAAATGTGAAAACAACATTTGAGATATATGATTGCCCTTCAGGATAGCTTCTAAATGTGCTTGAAATGTCAAAATTCCTGGTGTGTTACTCATGTTTCTTGTGACAGTACATATCTCATACTGCATACATATCCAGACTAGCCTGATGTCAGCTGGATGTGAAACTTGGATTATGTATGGTTGAGGCCCAGCCAAAAGTCACAAGTAGCTGGTAGTGGCTGATAGAGGATCCTCAGAGTAGTAAAAATACATCTAAGAGCCTCTAATAAACAATCAAATTCACTAACTGCCATGCTCAGGATGCAGTGAAATCAAAACATATTTCAAGGCCATGAGTAGCCTTGATGGGTGACTATGACAAATAGTTCCTCATAGAGGCTACTGGAGGATGTTAGCTGAGACAAAAATCTAGGAAAAAGTGACATTGGTTGTATTAGAGCAAATGCATGGTCTATGTTGACAAAGTACAGTGAACTCCAGAACTGGAACACCAACTCCAGAATCTTGAAAACCCAGAGATTATGACTCCACTCTACCCCTATGTGGAACTGCTCAGAATATGTCTGGGATTACTTGGGGTCTGTCTGGAACTTGTGCAGACTATCATTCTATCCTACCATCCTTTCCTTATCATTACTTCTGAGCCTCCAGGGGAATTCCATTATTATCTTATATCACTTAACTTCATTTCCATCTCCATTCATGTTCCTGTTCCTAATCCCTGTCATTATTAGTGAACACTTCTCTGCCCATTCTGCTACATATATATACTTACTTTTTACTTTGGATTCCTCAGTTGTTCTTTGCCATCCTTAGGCAGTGGCTGAGGTGAGTTTACTTTATATCTATTTACTACTCCTAGCTAATCCCTAGTAGTCTGGGTAATCACTGCCATCTTATAGTTTTTGTCAGATGTCAGGGCAAGGATAGTGGGAGGAGTAGAGGAAATCAGCTCTGATGCATCAGATAGTAGAGGAAGCATGTGAACAATCTAGATAAATAAAATCAAAAACAGACAATAAAGTTATTGTATAATGTACCTTAATATTGTGGTACAGCAGCCCTGATGACTGAGAGGTACTAGAATTGCTGACATTGGGTGGCTTGTTGATGGGAGTAGGCTTGACCTTTGTTCATTTTCTGGATGGGGCAGTAGTTGTTGAGGGGTGACATTTGCATTTGCCCATCAATTTTGTAGACATGACTTGCTCTTGCTTGATCAGAGACCTGGAGCCAGCACTGGCATGTGTTCTGATATTGGCTGATGTATGTGATCCTTGGTTTGAAGGATGTGGGTTTCAATTACAGTGACTCCATAAACCATTGCAATGTTTGGCTGTTTGGCTGTTTTGCAGTAGATGTAATGTAGCACCAGATGGCATGGGAATCTCACTTAGCATTGGTGAGCCGGGTTGTGATACTGGTCACTGGCTACACAATGGTACCTAGTCATGTGATTCTGTGCAATGGCTGCAGAGATATGCCCATGTCAATACAGAGATATCATTGCAACAGTTTATGTACTTTCAGCCTAGAAGGTGGAATCTCAGCTAAATGAAGGGATAGTTGCTGTTGTTTGGTCCTGCAAACAAAGATACATATATAAACATTATGTCTGAGTTTTAAAAAGATCACATGCTTCTTTCTTTCCAACCTCTACCAACATGAGATCCCTCTCATCTACCCAGAAGAATACCATCATCACCATGTTTGATTCTGGCCATTCTGCTCACTCCATTGCCTCTACTACTTGTCTCCATGTCTCTACCATCTCTAGACTTCATTCCAAAGAGTGTTCTGAACTCCAGAAATCCATCAGAGGTCAGACATCTAAGCTTTCCTCTACCAATATCTGCCCATGCTATCCACCTCATCTCTACTCAAAAAGCAGAGAATGCTGTCCAGGTGACCAAAACCCTCACCAATATCATCAACCAGCCTCTCCACCCAAATACTGTCTGCCAACACTTGAAAAAAACTGGTATAAAGGCTGTGGTCAAGCAAAAGTGCCCTATACTTTCTGCTAAGCATCACAAGGCACAGCTAGACTTTGCCTATGCTTACAAGGATTGGACTCTGGAGGACTGGAAAAAGGTGGTATGGTCTGATGAGACCAAAATCAACCACCTAGGGTCAGATGGTCACAAATGGGTGTGGAAAAAGCCAGGAGAGGGGCTTAGTGACAGGCTGGTAGAGGGGACTCTCAAGTTCAGAGGAGGTTCTGTGATGATGTGGGGCTGTATGGCTTGGGAGGGTGTTGAATATGCCACCAAGATTAATGGTAGGATGGATGGAGACCTATACCTTCAAATTTTGAAGGATTAACTTCAAGAATCCCTTCAGTATCATGGTCTTAATCCTCCTGACATCATCCTCCAGCAGGATAATGATCCCAAGCATACCTGCAAGAAGGTCAAGGAGTGGCTAGAGGAGCAGGAATTTAGGACCATGGTGTGGCCTGCACAGTCTCCTGATCTCAACCCCATGAAACATACCTGGGGTTACCTCAAGAGAAGGCTTGCAGAGCATGAACACCTGTCATATACCATGTCACAACAGTCAACTCGGCTCCTCCGGAACCTACTCTGGCTCAACTCTACCTTTTCTGCCTATATGCAACTCCACCTTTCCACTTATCCAAGTCTGCTTTTCCACTTATCCAAGTCTGCTTTTCCACTTATCCAAGTCTGCTTTTCCACTTATCCAAGTCTGCTTTTCCACTTATCTCTCTTACCCCTGATTTCCATACCTTGTTCCTCATCCTTCATACTTTGACAGACATCTGACATATCTAATAAATCCACCTTCCAATTCACTCCATTCTGACTTGTTCTGACTCCTCCTGACTCATTCCTATCTGTCTGATATCTTTGATCCACATTCCACTCCACTCCAGTACTCCAGTGCCCTCCATGTTTACTTGTCACCATAGTATAAAAACCCTTCTTGTATTTTGTATTCAGCAGTTTGAATATCAACTTTGATCACTCCTCTGCTCTGTCCATCTTAAGTCCCTCTCTTGACACCTGAAGCCAGTCTTCTTGTCATCACTCTGACCTCCTCTTCTGCCATCAGTCCACTACACCACTCCACCACTCTGCCCCTCTGTTAAATACTAGACTGAACTCGGACAAGGGTGCAACACATACATTGAAGCTGATGTCCACTCCACTCCTCCAACAACTCTGGACAGCCACAGAGGAACAACAATATTACCAACACCCCCCTAATGGGATGGAGCAGTTGTGGGAGAGGATTGAGGTGGACTGGAACAAGGTACCAGCTTCTGTGTGCCAGGGATTGATTGAAAGCATGTCTAGGAGGATTGAGGCAGTGCTTAAAGCAAAAGGGGGCTATACCAAGTACTGATATTCCCCAAATACCCTAATTATCACTAGAAGTACATAAACTGTTGCAATGGTGTCTCTGTATTGACATGAGCATATCTCTGCAGCCACTGCACAGAATCATGTGACTAAGGTACAATTGTGTAGCCAGCAACCAGTACCACAACCTGGCTCACCAATGCTAAGTGAGATTCCCATGCCATCTGGTGCTACATCACATCTACTGCAAAACAGCCAAACATTGCAATGGTTTATGGAGTCACTGTATGGTTGGGTACAGCTCTTGGAGTAGAGGTAGTATCTGTCAAATGGTAGCAAGCATGGTGCTTATTGTCTAATGCCTACTGATGCTTGAGCTAGGGTCTGGTCCCAATGGACTGGTAGCTCAGTTGGAAGAGCACCACTATACTACACTGGAGGCCACAGGTTCAATTTCTAGTCCACTTTTCTGGCAAATTTTGTCAGTATTGTTAGCCTGCCTTTCGTGATGTTGATGAGAGTGGGTACAAAGCAGAGAGTGGCCTAACCCTATGAGTTCCCAAAGTTTTCACTGGAAAGGGGGAATGGAGCTCTCTCCTGGTGTTTGGAACTGTTCATGCCAGAAAAATGCACCCTGGGTGCCCTCTGTTAGCATGCCCTTGCAAATTTCTTTACAGTTGTAGTGATACTTCTTGTTCGGAAGCATCAAGTGATCATGTTAGTTTTATTGAAAAGGTATCACATTGGAAATAGAGGAGGGATGGTGTCAAGGGGCAGGGAGAACAGAGCAAAGTGAGTAGAGCACACAATGCAAAGAATGCTTCATGTGCTCTGCTGGTTCTGCTCTTGCTGTGCACCCAGTAATCCAATCAATGATGTAGTGTTCCATGCAGTGATGAGGAAGTGAAATCAGAGCAAATGTGAAGTATTGCCAAATTCACAAGGTATGTCTACAAGCCACTATGATTATTTACTTCACACATTCAGCCTCTACTAGCCACCACCAGCCACTTGTAACTTTTGGCTGGGGTTGAGGTCCACCATTGGTCTGAATGGGGTTTTTTGTTGCTTGACCTTTGGATATAATATAAAACATAAAATAATCCTTTTTTTCTGGAAGGTATCACCTGGGTTCTGCTATACATGTGCATCAGTTTATTGGGACATTTGTTGGACATCTGAGATGGAGCCAACCATTTATGTTGTGACCTGCCAGCACAAGCCACCTCAAGGCTGACATCCAGCTGACATCTGGTTGTAGGCACCACTGATGCCTATAACAATGTCCTGTTGTCATTTTCAGAGATGTAGCAGATACACATGCCCAAACATCAATGACACATGAGTGCAATACTCTGCAAGTGGTTGTGTTAGCCTTGATGGTGCACACCACCAGATGTCCATCACCTGTCAGTGCACACACTCTACCCAAACATCAGTGTCCACCATATCATGAGATGGGTGTGATGCATTGATACCATTGATTAATTTCAAATACCATTCCAGTGGGCTCAATATTTTGAAAAACAGCAAAACCACTTAATTGACATCATGAAGTACATTGTCACAGCAGTGCACAGTTGCACATTATGGATGAAATGAGAGTATTTGGAATGAGGGTTGGAAGGGGGGATTACAGATGAAATGAAATTATCATAAATGAACATTGGAGGGCCTGGGGATAGGTATCAAAGTAGGGGACATTGGGTGTGTTATATACCATGTTGTGCAAGTCAACTCTGCCTTCCTGCCTGCATCATGTCCACTTTTCTGCCTATGAGCAAGTCTGCTTCACCACTTATCACCAAGTCCACTTTTCTGCTTTTCTGCTTATCTCTAATACTTTTGATTCTGTGCCTTGTTCCTCATCTTTCATACTTTGACAGACATTTGACATATGTAATAATTCCACCTTCCAATTCATTCCATTCTGACTCACCTTGACTTGTTCTGACTCACTTTGACTCCTCCTGACTTGTTCCCTATCTCTACAATTACTTTGACTCATATTCCGTCCCACTCCAGTACTCTGGTGCCCTCTGTGTTTACTTGTCACTGTAGTATATAAACTCTCATTGTATTCTGTATTCTGCAGTTTGAATATTGACTATAATTACTCCTTTCATCTTGTCCACTCAAGTTCTCCATCAACACTTGAAACTAATCTTCTTGTTGTAACTCCAACCCTCCAATCTCACACTATTCTGTCACTTTGCTCTGCTATCACTCTGCCACTCCATCACTCCACCCCTCCATTAAATATTGGACAGAACTCAGACAAGGACACGACACATAAGTTGAAGCTGATGTCCACTATCATACCTCTGACAACTCTGGACAGCCAGGAGGAACCAGATTTAAACAGGGTGTGTGAATGCACACCTCAGTTGAGGGTCCAATTTTGAGCCAGGCCTCAACTGGGGTGTGGAGATGTGGATGTGGAGTCCCTGGGTGCACACCTTGGTCAAGAAGAAATTGTGAAAGAGACCCTGACCAGGGTGTGGAGGTGGGGATGTGGTGTCCATGGGTGCACATCTTGGTCAAGGGTCCAATTTGAGCCAGGTCTCAACTGGGGTATGGAGGTGGGGATGCAGTGGCCATGGGTGCACATCTTGGTCAAGGGTGCAATTTTGCACCAGGCCTTGATCAGTGTGTGGAGATGGGGATGTGATTCAAAGACCAGATGATAAATTTGTACCAAATATGATTATTGTACATTTCTATTAACCTAGGTGCAACTTGTTTCCGAGTAAGTCACCAATTTGTTAGCTTGTTCGGTCGGTCCTACAAGTGTCTCAGGTGTAACCGCGACTACATTTCCCGACGTCTGGCATCTCCAATAACATACTATTCCCACATCCCTACACTTACGGCCACCTATAGGTTCCTATAGGCCCAACTTAACCTTCTCCTTGATGCCATGGCCGAGGATCACGCGCCGCGTCATTCAACAGTCCATGACACTCGCGTTCTTGATTAATGTCCCAGTCTCGCAAATATGGGGTAGTTCCACTGTATTGAAACTCATTGAACCCACGAGAAATTACGGTCTAATCAAGAGTCATCTCTGGGTAGGATCCAGCCTGGTTCAAACCTTCCGGCAAGGTTACTGACGGGCCCTGACAAACCTGCTTGGCTCTTGAAGCTCTCCAGGAAATTTTTAATGAGGTTGTAGTCCATGCTAGGTTCGTCATCATCCTCGTCCTCGTCCCCTATCTCGCCTTGCTCGAGGAGGGCTTTGAGCTCGGCATCCATAGAACCCTCGACATCCGTGTCAATATCGGCATTCGTAGGTGCTGCGGCGGCCTTCCCTTTTCCCTTGCCCGTAGTCGGCAGGGGTTGAGGAGACGGCTGTTTCGGTTTCAATTCAGCAGTGGGTTGGCGTAACCGGGACAGCTCGGCGTCCATGGCTTGCATGACAGCCTCAAAGGAGTCGAGATTGGGATTGGCGTTGAGGCGGGGCCCCGGTGCTAGCGTGCAGAATATTTCAGGCGCTGCCGCTTGCATGTTGCTTTGTTTGGCCGCTTCTTTTGCTGGTACGGCCGCTAGGGAGAATGGCTTCTTCTCGACCGTTACACTTGCTGGTACGAAGGCTATACCCGAAGATCGGTTACCCTTGACTGCACGGGTTTGGTGACACTGCAATGACATACCTCCCCTTCCTTGCCGCTCTTTGATTATATCACCCCACATCTCATCAGATATGCCGAGGGCTTGGCGCGAAAACTCAAGAAACCCCGCCTCTTCTTCGTTCATGTCCACCTCTATCTCACCAACGACCTGGGGCCTGTCTTCCTCTGACTCGCCATCCTCGTCGTCTCCACCTGCAAACGGATCAGACGAAGAGGATTCGTCGTCCGAGTCGACTCCTTCGTATCTGTCACGCGGAAGAAGGGGGGGCCGAATCGGCCGTGTGCGTGGTGGTGAGGCAGATTCGTCAGAAACAGTACCAACAGTGCCAGTGGTGAGTTCAGGTGATCCAGCTTCAACAGTCTCAGTCAAGACAGTCGTCTTGGACACTCGCTGCGTATTGAAGGAAGCAGGCATCTGACCATACTCAGAGGCAGGGAGGGCAGGAACGAGGTTATCCATCGCTTGTTGACGGGCTGCCTCATTTGTCTTTCTATTCTCATCGTCTGAGTCTTCGTCGCCGAAGTCGGAGAAGCTCTGATCACGAAACTGGTCGGCTTCGTCGTCGCTGTCCGTGACCTCATCATCGGAGAATGCCTCGCTACAGACCGGAACCCGGGAAAGTGGAGGGAGAAGCCCGTCAGGGTGCCACAGGTGACGGTATGAAACCTCCCGAAACTTACTCTTCGAATCGCGCGCCTTCTACGTCTCCCTCGCCTTCTACAAATCGCTTCACATTGGCAGCGAAATCGCGCAGTTTCTCCGTCTGCTCCTGAGCGAATCTCTCCTCCTGTCCTCCACCAGTGACATCTACGTCCATGGCCTGCGCCTTCACACTGGGGCCATGACCGTGCATGGCGCTCTTGAGTACGTCCTCAAAATCTGCGGCATCGATGTTCATCCATTCGTCTGAGTCCTCGGCTTGCGTTGCACCTGGATTTGGGAGTGCCTCGGGAGCACGAGAAAGTACAGCGTTGAATAGCGCTGCGAAAGACGGCCTTGATGCATCACTGCAACGTGAAAAACGTAAGCGTGATCTACCGATGACTCGAAAAAAAGGCGTCTTCGGAAGGAAAGACGGGCGTACTCTTCTCGTCGAACTTCGACATAGACGTTAGCTGCTTTGTTCTCGAGCTCGTTCCAAAACTGTGAACCCTCAACTTCGTCACGGAAGTAGCCGACAGCGACGAGTCGTGTGAGGTATGCCTTGTAGTCTGGCGACCGACGAAGAGTATCTTTAAGTGCAGCCTGACAATTAAATATAGACTCAGTATGAAACGACACGACGGACGGATGACATGACATGATGTTGCAAAGAATAAGGACTTGTGGATAAGAAAACCACTCACGGAAAACTCCAGCGCCTCAACGGTCGATCTAGCTGCATCCGCACGGTTTTTTGATTCTTGAAACAACATTTCGAAACCACAAGCCTGTCGAATGCACGTAGGTGGCTAGATAGAGGAACGTGAGTGAAACAACTCACCAGTTTCATGCCGACATCCCGCCAACGCCAGGTGTCGGTGCCTTCACGTTCCTCAAAGTGGCCAAAAATCTTCGGTGGAAAGAATTTCTGACCTAACAGCTGGGCGTACGCAGTTCTCGTCATTTTGACGTTACAAAGGACGTTTGGACAGGGCGAGAAGCGTGCCATCTTGTGGGCAGCCTACGAAATTACGCTAAGACGCATGTTATAAATGGTACGACCAGTGACACTCACGCGAAGCTGAATTGCATCACGAGTGTAAAAAGTCTCGATTGGCTTTTGGATGAGTGATGGGTCCACGGTCAAAGCGCGAGCAATGTCGACGGGGAGGTATGCCTTGCTGGTATGCACAT